ACTTGGGTGTGCTTATTCTACTAGATGGGGGTATCACTTTTAATTCATATTAACAAGCTGCTGTTGTTGATTGAAGGTCTAACAGAATAGCCTGGTCTGCAAGGGCTGGCCAGTAATTTGCTTAGGCTGAAAACCTGTTGTCCTGAATTAATGTTTGTGTTCTTGCAGCCACTGGGTTGAGTCAATCTGATCTGAAATTAATCAAACTTGTTGGAGATGGAAGTTAACAGTTTTATATAGATGGGAAGAAAAATCCTGAGGCTTTATAACCTCAATGAGCATTTCAGACTGTCTTGTCAGCCATAGTCTTGTGCAGAATATACAGATGCTGTGTAAATCATATCTCCTGCTGTTCAGCATAGCTGAGCATGTCTGAAGTTTCAGTGAGTTTCTCATTTGCTTTGGCTTGTGTTTTTATGTTCCAGGGTAGACCTAAGTGTAGAGAATTTCAAGTCCTGTTGACTAACTTATTTTCCTACTTACTGGATGATTAAGCAAATGTGCTAGGCATAACCCAAGAGGCAGTCACATTCATTGCAAGTCAGATGGACTTCATTTCAGTGCATGCATTCAGATTTTTAATGTAGTGGCGGTGCACACAAGAGAAATATGCAAAGGCCTGTTTCATGCCTTGCAGATGTCTAGATCTTCAGTGTGAAATCTTGTACTACCAGCAGATCATGAAGAATGCTGTGTGGCCACAACTGCCAGCACCATAATTTCCTTCAAAAGTTATGTGTATTGGAGGTTGTGTAGTAGTGGATTTCTGAACTGGCCTTCCGTGTGATCTTTTAGCAATGATTTGGCTTGTCTATCTGGGATTCTTCATTTCATTATTGGAGGCTAGTATGCTCTGTTTCCAGCTGATACTGTCTTTTTTGCTGTACATGTGGATTACCCTTATTTAGAACACTGCTGCTTATGTGATGGGAATTGGTTTGCAGTGTGTCAAAATGTTTTATCCAGGCATGTACAATGATGAGTCTGTGCAGGACACAGCACTCTAGCATTCTTGTAAAAGGCTTGTGCATATTGAATGCTGAGCTCTTTGAAAAACCTGGTCTGACTAGGGAATCTCATTCAATGTAGGCATTAGATTTGAGATGCATTATACTTTTAATTTTTAAAAATAATATGTAATGCTGCTTTGAAAAGATGGTAAGCTGAAACATGGCAAGCATCCACTGGTGGAAGGTTTAAGACACTATGTTGCTTGTTAGCCATTGGACTGGTGCTGAAAATACATTATACATTCTCGGCCTACATAGTCAAATTTTCTTTGTTAGTATTAAGAAACACTGTTGCATTAGCTAGTGGGCAGTTAGCTCTCAGTGTAGGCATCTGCATAGTGAGCTACGATAAGATAGTGTTTTTCTCAGATGATGCCATGATAATTATAGCAGGAAAATCCTGCTAAAACTGCTCTTGCTTCAGCTAGTTGCAGAAATCCTTAAACATGTTACAATTACTAGCTGTATGGTTCAGTTAGCAAATAGGTGGCTCATCTGTTTCCTGAAACATAGAGGAGATCCTATACTGAATTAAAATTTGAGTGTAAAAGTGAATACCTGAAACTTGCAGAGTTTAAGATTAGCTGTCACTTAAAATAAAATGCTTTCTTTGCACTCCGAAAACCTTTCTTTAATTCTAAACTTCAAATGCATGTTTTCTTTGGTAAGAAATCCCCATACTTCTGCTTTGAAAAGTCATGTGCCTATTTGCACTGGCAGAAGTGAAGGCATTATCTGGTGGTAACTAAATATATCTTTACCTGTCTGGTGATACAGCTTTCTCCGGTATTGAGATTGGCAATTAATAGCTATCACCTGATACAGAATAACTTCTATGACTCATTAAGTGGAGGAGGAGGAAGTGAGCTGGAGCCCATGGCGGATTGTTGCGAACTTTAAATTGTTGGTCTTATCTGTAAGATCTGTTCTAAGATGGTTCTGGTGCCATTCCAGGGGAATGCAGTGCAGCAGAATCTGATTTCCACCCACTCTGCCTTCTGAATAAGCAATATGAATACCTTTTAATGTGCTAATGTCTATATTATAGATATAATTATGTACATTTCTAACTTCTATAGTAAGCATGCCACAGTGTAATTGTGTGATAAAAATCTATTGTCTATTTTAGCTTTATGGACAGTATAGGTAACATAAGCATACAACTGTGCATGCTGCTACCTTCTTCCTACAGAGCAAATTTTTCTCAAATAAAATTCAGAAAGGGCTTTTATGGCTCAGATACTTTGAACCCTGTGAGATAACATTTACCCTAGCAGCTTGTTGCTGAAAAGCATGAACTTGCTTAGGAGAGCATAGCTCTTTGGAGTTAGAAATGGCAAGTGAGATTTTTAATTGAAAGTGAGTAAGTAAAGAAACAGTAGAGTGACTCCATTATTTAGGTGGAAAAAGTAGAGGTAAGATTGCAAACTCTACTGCTCTTGACCGTTTTAGGAAAATACAAAGCATTATCTGAAAAAATGGATAATATGACTTGTTATTAAATTAAAAAAATTATCTGGCTTTACCCTTCTGCCTTTCTCCACAGTGTAATAGTGAGGAGTCAGAATGATGTCTCATGGGCAGTTTAGAGCAATTTTGTGTGAAAATTTCAAGGCCCTAGTAAAAAAGCTAAGGTAATAGTGTCAGTTCATTACTTTGTCAATATGCTGCTGTAAACATGCATGTAGGATTGCCTGGTCCCAAGCCTTCAGTCTTGTTAGGCCTTCTGTTACCATACTGCTTCCCCTCTGGCAAATTCTCTAAGACAGGAAGATGTCGTTCCATGCCTGACTGTGCTTTTCAGTCAAATCTGCATGAACATTGTAACAGTGGAGATCTTGACATCTGAAATACAATGCTGCTAATGTGCTACCCCATGCCATTCTCTTCTAATGTTTTTAAATGTCTGTATTTCTGCCAAATAAAACTTTGTTTGCCTTTGCTCAAGGTCATGTTTTCCTTTATGTAGGAGATGCTTCACAGAAGCAAAACTGCAGTTGTCACTATTAATAATGCAGAGCTATTTTAGTGCAATGGGATGGCTTTTTCTCTTTCCTTGCTGAAGTATTGTAACAACTTAAGATTCAAATTATTTTGCAGTTTTTTCAGTCAACGCGTTTGTAACTTTGAATTAATTTCATTTACAAACCTTAAAAGTCTGGGAAGAAAAATCAGCTAGGGTACTAAATGTAGAGATACCATATCTTGTGTAGGAACTGCGAATTACCAGAGGCTGGGAAAGTAGAGAGGCAGTGTAATTGAGGCTCCTGTCAGGAATAAGATACTGGATTAGGTGACTCCTGATCTCACCAGTTCTTACATTGTGTTTATAAGGAATTACTTCAAAAGAAAAGGTGTTTTTTATTTGAACTCTGAAAACAGGGACTGGGCTTATAAACAAATTTGGCAGTAAAGAACTGAAGAGCAATTTTCCATCATATTGCAGAACTCCACTAGAAGTGCTGTAGGGATTTCTGTGTGTATTGGCAAGGCGATAATGATTAATCCTGCCCTTCTATCTTGGTCTCAACTAGAGGGAGGACTAGCTATGTAACTTCCAGACTGTGCAAAGACTTTGATCTAGACTTTTCTAAAAGTTGGGCAAGAGGATTAAAGGCTTGTAGTCTCAACTGGCTGTTAATGGAGAGAAGGAATGAGAGCATGATGAAGTGGGAGAAATTAAATTGCTCTCAAGGTATTGTAGGTGCTGGCTGACAAGAGGCTGAGAAATACCAGGAGACTAAATAAAA